ATACTCCCGGCGACCTGGTATGGCCCTCTCCGCCATACCGTGATCGGTGCGACACGCCCACCGTCTGGCTGGACACTCGCCGCAGGTCTCTAGCCATCTGGCGGAGAGCGTGAAGAGGGAAGCAACGATGAGATTCGCATCAGTGCAGAAATCAAAAGTCAAGGACGGGTCCCAATTCCCGGGTTCTGGGCCGCTTCTCATGAGTTTTTTCATCACCCTGGTAAGACTGACCACGCTATATTGCATCTAATAGGCTGCCCTCTATAATATTTGTAAACTACTCCTTCGAAGCTAGTGGATACAGGGTTGCGTCATAGCATTCGCCATAGCTCTGCGTTTCTACCTCGAGAATTAGAGCAGCAGACAACTCGGAGAGTAACGCTCCAATAGCGGTGGCCCTACAGCACGCACCGGTTAATGAAGGGCTCTAGCGGATAGATAGCGTACAACCCCATATGTCTACATTCACTTACCGCACATCCGATTTTGCGTACCACTAAATTTCGAAAAATATTGCTGTCATTGTCGATAAGGGGGTGGGGTGGATTTTCATTCAAGGAATGTCTAGAGTGAAACATGGCATCACACTGCGCAAAAGCAAGCTGCCCCTGTCCCAGGGTCGTGACTGGATGAATACATACGAGGAGGGTTTTCACAAAGCGAAGCCATTTCTAGCTATATGACCATTATCCAACTTACTGCTGACTGTTCTGGCTTAGTGACGAAGGTACGAATCGGTTGGGGTGCCAAAACTTCTCCAGAATTGCTAGTATCAACCATTTGATCATTTCGAATTTTTCCAGACTGATGCTGCACTTCCACTTGCTCGAGAACTTTGCTAAAATGAAACTCAATTAACCATTCCAACCTGTCGCAGTTACGCTTTAACACATTCACGCCAGCGGCAGCCCGTATGGTCTGCCGCAGTTAATCGTCTACCAGTCGCCTGTCGCAATTTTTTGCATACTTCGGATATCGAAATAATTAACGTCTCATAAAAAAATAAAGTATAAAGCATCGGGAGTGGATGAATCCCCGTTTCGGAAAGTGCCATGCGTTCGGCTTCTATTCAGAATCGTAATTGCAATTTGGCAATACAATGACTTGCAGGGGTCCAGCCGATGTACAAGTCAGTGTTTTTTATCCTCCCAGACAAGTCTGGTACCAATTAACCGACCCCGGAGGGATGGAAGGCTTGGTTGGCCCGGGCGACTCACGACCCAGGATTTGATCCCCGGACCGCTCGCGTGGTAAGCGTGCCACTTGCTACTACACCACTTCCGCCCAACGAGTTACAGGATTACTAAAATTACTTGGTGCTAATTTTGACTTGTTTTCTTTGCTAACTGCTACCTAATGCCGCAATTCGCGTCAAATTTTCCACAAGATAGGTTATAAACAACACATTCGCCCCGTGCGAGATTCAAACCAGTACTCGTGCTTACCGGGCAATTGCGCTACAACTTATGCCATCAACATAAAGTGGAAAAGGGCGTTGTCGTGAATGTGCCAACAGTAGTACTTGTGTAGTAGACGGGAAATAGAAACCTAAAGCTGATCGTTGTTCCATTTGGAGTAGTAAACTTCGTTGGACTAGCCAAGTATGCAGTTCCATTGCCTTCTAATCTCCGCAACTGTGATACAACAGCATGTGGTGGAGGAGGTGTCATTTTCTGAAGTACAAATCGTAAGTATGTTATATACCAGAGAAATCGAAACAAATATGTATGCACACGTACCTCCACCACCTACACTAGCCAATCGACTCAATCCATTGAGAGAGTAGCTTGAGTGATTGCATTCGGATTACCAGCATGAGTGTTAACTGGCAGTGATTCGTTTACGATCGAGACCATTCGGGCAGCTCTACTCTGTTACACGGCAGAAGTCTATGCATTATCACGCGTCGTCAAGGCTGATCCTCGACAATCCAGCACCAGGTTTTTGTTGGCTGAATCCCTCCAGTTATTTTTCCTCTTCAATGAGCAGGCTTAACACCCACGTTGAGATGAGTAAGAGGTTGCGTGAGCGTCATGACGTTCAGGTTGCTGGAATCCACTTGAGAGCCGAATGGCATTCTGGGAGTCAACCACAACCACACCCAAATGGGCTATACACCTCGTTACGGTGACTCGCCGCAAATTCGGTGCTTCGACTCTCACGGGCGTTTTGGAAGTTCTGAAAAAAAAGAAAAGTAGGAAACGCCAAAAGTGAAACAGTTCGAGCAAAAAAATCACTAGCTCGTGAAGCACATCACCAAATTTTACGCACCACATAGAGATGAGGTTCCAGAAACCTAATGGCACACGATTCTTCAATTGTCCCTCTATAACAGAAACAACCCGCCTACTTTCCTCACCGTCTTCGAAATGTATCAATATAAACATCTCCATCGTGCGAGCTTAATTAGTCTACCGTAATTGCTTCAGCATGGAGCAGTTGCAATGGCTCGTCGATCGAATCCTCAACGTACATATTTTTACCTACCATGGCCATGGTTGGTAAGAATATTTCCACAAAGGATGTGCAGAACCCCTGACATACTGCGATTCCGGCGACCTGCTACAGTCCACAACGCAACTGCATTGATGCTCCGAAGCTTAACCTTAACCACATTCGTCTTTCAATCTTTACTGTCAAGCAGAATTCGCAGCAGGATTAAACAACACCTCGCAGTATTCATCGGGCACTTCCAACTCCTGTGATCCATCGCAGGTTTCGCGAAAATCGCGCAAATCGCGAAAATCAGCGAAACCTGCGACGGATCGCGGACTCTGACATCAGCCTACCCGATTTCCCGGTCTTTGAGCAGTCTCGAAACTGAGCTATGTTTAGTGGAACACTGCTCACACTTTAGTGTACTCCCCACCCATCCATAGCAATCGACAACCCTGTCGTCGTCAGACTCTACTTAGTTCCTCCTCCCCCCACCCCTTTACGGGACTTCTTGAAACCGAATTATAAGCTCGATGGCAAACTCCACCCGCAATCAACATTTGGTCTTTCCTCCTTCTCCTTGGTTCAACCAACAAAATGGGATTTGAACATTTTCAGGCCAAAAAACATTCACAGGTAATCACCTACCCAGATTGGACAACCTTTACAAAACGGTGACCATCTCGTTGGAGCACTATGCGCTGTCCTTTTCTGAAAATATGATTGAATCTGTGAGTAATTAGAAGCGTGAAGAAGACGCTCGGACGACTGACCACAAGCAAATAAAACCTCATATTACTGATAACGAACTCAAGAAATTCCGTCCGTGAAGTGGTGTCAGTAGTCACCAAATCGTCACCAATCAGTCCACCATTCCACCCATCTCCGGCTCGCTCCACAATTCGCCTAACCTCCTCATTCGTGCTACTAGCAGCGGAGTCACGTGAAGCATGCCGACTTCGTTTTTCATTTGAATCCTCCTGAGCGAAAAGCGCAGTTATTGCAGAGTTTCGCAAACCAGGCATCGTTTTGCAAAGTTTTGAAGTACTCAATGTAGGTGATTAACTACCTCATTATCACCTCCACCAA